GTTAATTTTAGAGAGGTGTAAGGATGTGCAAAAATGATCAAGTACTAGATCTTCATGTCATGCAATAACATTTGCAAATATCGCTTATTTTAATGAATTTGGAACTCCTAATTTTGGATCTTAGGTGAGATGGTTTTTTTTTAATATTGGGGCAAGAGTTACAAATAAAGCCATACCGATTATTATTTGATAGGTTTAGTGTCAGTGTGTTCATTTTGGGGTCAAAAATAAAGTAAGACTAATGCACCGTTTTGAAACAAGTCTGACAAGACTAGTTACAATTAAAGTTTTTTTAGAGTCTAAGAAAAACATAACAGTTTAAAAAAATCATTTCGATAATAATTTCACCTAACATCTTAGTTCTAAATAGTGTAGCTAGTTCCGTAATTTAATGATAAGAACAATTATATATATTATTTTGACCACAAACGAAGTCACGAAGTACAGTATGACCCGGGACTGAGAGCACTGTTCAAGGGCTCGCCGGGCAAGCGGCACAATCAGGCTGGTAACCACAGGCGATCACACGGGGGTGGTGGTGAATTACTCTGGTTAATAAAATTCGTGGTAAAACATTGAAGCCTTCAGCAGACAGAGCACAGGCACAAATGTAGAGAGAGCAGGAAAGAGCACCAGAGAGAGACACCACCATCACCCTCCTCTTCCTCAGAGCTGGTGCCTTGTTCGGATCAGCCTTGGAGACCAGATTCTGGGGGGCAATCTGAACATTTTTGTGTTTGTGTTATTTATTTTAGGAAAATCGGCACATAGTCAAAACGTTTTCTTGTACTTAGTGATGCACGTTTATAAGGAGTCTTATTCCTGTTTGCTGCTGGGTATCCATGTGGTAGGAAGAGGAAATAGCTGAGATTTAGGGTGTATTATTTTACTAGGGTGCGGGCTTTTCGCGTTTTGTTCAAATGTCAGTGTTTTCAGATTACAAGGGTAGAGTTCCGGGTCTCTATTGTAGTTCTCACGCCTCTAAAACGAATGAACTTGTACATATGCGAAACAGACTAAGTGATGCATGTCGTGTAACGTTGTGTAGCCGTCTTAATAATTGTCAAGAAATATCTGTCTCACCCAAGTCTGACCGATGTATTACTCGTCAATTACCAGAACTGTGCTGGAAAAAATAAAGAACTCAAGTGCCATTTCACGCGTGACTCGGACTGCCCCCTCGCCTCGAAATTTTAAAACAATATCAATTCTGATTCAATTTAAAATACGAGGGACTGAAGCATTTAAAAATTATGTTTTTATACTTTAAAACCTAAACATTTTTAGGGCCGGGGACTAACTGCAATTGAAAGATGAATCAGAAGAGTGAAGGTTTTCCACTTCAAACAAGAAAGCAGGAAAAAGAGACGAGCCAGCCAGGAGTCGAACCTAGAATCTTCTGATCCGTAGTCAGACGCGTTATCCATTGCGCCACTGGCCCGCACGCTTTCCCTCTGGAAATGAGCCTTTATAAAACAAAAATCGTGCACTCCTTCGTAAAACACGCGACACAATAAAATCCTAAATACTAAAATGCATGTTCAGTAAACATTGTTAATTTCGCTCCACTGTATTTCGAAATGCCCGAAATAAAAACGAATTACAAACCTGCGGCATGTTGTGAAAGTAACCTGTGCAATACGTGTATGGCGACAGTAATTTGTTGAGTCTGTGAATATATCATCAAGCTCTTACATGTAGTATGTATTTCTTGATGCATTTCAGTTTGATCAATGTGCAGTCGAAACTGAACAAGAGACGCAAGATATCTAGTGCCGATCACGAGCATGCTTGACACTACAGAACGGGCGCGCCCTCGAGCCTCAGGGCTCGACTGCGCGTGTGCGCGCACGCCCGCTCAGCCCCGGCTGCGTCGCGGCGCAGGGGGCGCGCACGCTGTGTTTGGATTGCCGGACGGCGGGAGTTTGCGGTGCCTGGCTGTCAGACCGGCGAGCGGAGAGTCAGGCTGGAAACACGGTAAGAGAAGGGTACCTTGCACACGCGTGAGCTCAGGGTTATTTACAGCGCAGCTCTGAAGTGTGTCGACCCCCAAAACCGTTTGATCTGAAGGACCTGAAGGGACACTGCCGGGCCGAGCCAGACCGAGCCGGGCCGACAGTGGGGGTGCTGTCTGTGAATCGGTGCGTCTCTCTTGACTGCAGGCTGTTTGAGCCCGGGTCCGCCATGGAGGAGAGGATCGTGTCGCTGTCCCGGGCCGACTCCGTGCAGGAGCTGCGGCGGTGTCTCCGAGCGGCGGGCGAGGGCGAGGTGAGGCCGGTGCGGCGTTGTTCCTCGGGGGTGTGCTGGGCAGCCCTGACCTGGTTAACCCCGCACTGCTCCTGTCGCACACGACCGATGGGCTCATCCCAGCCCGCTCCTATCAGACAGCTGGCTGATCGGCCGCTGGCAGGGAGCCGCCGGGCTGCCCTTACCGGGGTCTCCCAGCGGTCTGTTGCACAAGCTGGCCGGGCTCCAGTCCGGGCGGGTTCAAAATCCCTGACTGCAGCTGCTAGCCGTGAACCTGCTGGTCTGGGGGCAAAGACACGACAGTTCTTGAAAAGAAGACAACTTTGTCATCCTTGAGCTGTTTGAGAAATGTCTGCGGTGTCCTGCTGTTTCAGAAACTGTTTTGTAAGGAAATGCAGCGCCTTGGATCTCCAGAGGTGTCCATATGTGTAAGCTTTCAGGCGGTTTAGAAAAAGAAATGCCTTTGATAGGTCCTGTTTGCAACTGTAAACTATATTCACTATGAATACAGTCCGCTGTTGGTTACACCTCAGTGAAGAGATGTTTAGCAGGAGGTCATGAAATCTATATGTAATTGTTCTGGGGGTTTCCACCCTTGCTGCTCCTGCCCTGCCAGTTCATCCCTCACTGCCTGGGCTCGAACCCGGGTCTCCGGTGTCACGCAGCAGGGAACTTGCCAGCTGAGCTAAAGGAGAACTCCCTCAGCCCGGGCGGCTGAGATCCCTCTTATACAAGCAGGGGTGCATTTGTTACATATATTAGGCAGTAGACTCATTTACTTTAAGGTTTTGTGTGCACTTTCTTTAAATACTGTTACAACATCATAAGAACATTACATCGGCAAGATCTGGAGGCGGAGCTCGTATTTCAGTGATGTAAAAAAAGCTCATTTCCGCATGTGCCTGAGGGACAGGATCTTTTCCAGGACAGTCCCAGTCATGCTTGTATAAAACACGTACCGTACATCCTGCACACTGGAGCCACTCTTTTAGCAGTATAAAGAAAGGCTCATTAGGACTAACCTGATGCTACATGTCCCATTAGTAGAAGAAATGCTGTTGAGGTGGGCCTGTGCTAATCGCTGGCTCTTCCCTGTTGTAGCTGGCCGAGCTGATCACATGCAGCGCGGTGAAGGGGAGGGACGTGGGGCAGCTGATCAGAGCCATTTTCAGAGGTGAGGCTGGAGATATGCGGCTGCCTGTCGATGTGCAGCAGTACCGCAGCAGCAGGCGTGATGCGGCTTTTCCTGTCCCAGGCTCCCCCACCACGGACAGCGAGGGCGTGAGTCACAGGCTGCTGGTGTACAAGCACTGCATCCAGCTGTGCGAGTCCGGAGACCTGCAGCTGGAGGTGGTGTCTG